AAGAAACAAATAATATGGTTACAGACATGGGGAAGTTGTGGGAGGAAGACTTTCGGTTGTATACTCTTTTCAGGGGAAGAAGAGTATAGTTAAATGTATTATCTTTTCCAAAACATAAAAGCGTTGGTCATATTTTTAACAGTTTTGGTCCTGTGAAAGATAAGAGAATATACCCACCCTATTTTCACCATAGAAAAGGCCAGAAGAAAGATGTTAGGATGCTACCTTACCGGTTGATCTTCCTCTTCTGTTGGGATTTAATCACTGTGCTTTCTTCATCTCTCTTTTTCAACACCTGGAAGTTGTACTCTAATTTTTCTTGGTTTAGCTGATAAGTTGCTTTCATCTGCTGAAGCTGTTGTTCAAGAACCTAAAGTTAAAGTTTAAAAAAATAATAATAATTGGTCACAGTAGAATTTATTGATCCTGAAGGCTCCTGCTAATTTGTTCTGGAGTTGTGTCAGAGAAACCTTATAGACAGGTGCTCTTAGTTAAAAGTCAGCAAGACAGAACACAAATCATCAGGCTGCAAGGAAAGCCAATACACCTAAGGCCTAAGAAAGATCATGGCACTTTAGTCCATCTAACTCTGGGGCTTTGCACCACATCCTTTAGCCATATAAGCAAGCCACTAGAAACACCATAAAAATTAGTATGGCCACAAAACCTTGAAATTTCCCCATTCTGGCATTACAGATTGTTTAGAAAACCACATTCACAGACTCAGTCATCTTTATGTTTTGAATATCCATTGGCTGAATTCGTTTATTCAGAAAATATTTATGGAGTGCCTAAAATATATCAACCTTGCTTGCTGAAAGCGAAGAGGACTTAAAATACTTACTGATGAAGATCAAAGACTATAGTCTTCGGTATGGGTTGTACCTCAATGTAAAGAAAACAGAAACCCTCAACACTGGACCAATAAATAACATCAATATAAGTGGAGAAGAGATTGAAGTTGTCAAAGACTTCATTTTGCTCAGATCAACCATCAACACTCATGGAAGCATCAGTCAAGAAATCAAACAACATATTGCATTAGGTAAATATGCTGCACAAGACATCTTTAAATTGTTGAAGAGCAAAGATGTCAGTTTGAGGACTAAGATGCGCCTGACCCAAGCCATGGTGCAGTTTCAGTAACCTCATGTGCATGTGAAAGTTGGACAATAAATAAGGAAGACTGTAGAAGAATTGATGCAATTGAGTTATGGTGTTGGAGGGAAATATTAACAGTACCTGGACCACCAAAAGAACAAACACATCTATGTTGGGAAAAGTACAACCAGAATGCTCCTTAGAAGCCAGGATTTGTCTCTCATACTTTGGACACATTATCAGGAAGGACCAATCCCTGGATAAAGACGTCATGCTTGGTAAAGTGGAAGGTAAGTGGAAAAAAGGAAGACCCCCCCGCAACCAGATAGACTGGCACAGTGGCAGCAGCAATGGCCTCAAGTGTAACAATGACTGTGAAGTTACTGTGTAAGACCAAACAGAGTTTCATTCTGTTGTGCATAAGGTCGCTATAAGTCCATACCGACTTGCTGGCACCTAACAACAACATAATATATATTAGAATTTCAAGTCTTGTCTCCCCTTCAATACAAATTATACACTTAATATTTGTAAAAACCTTTAATGATTGTGAAAATAATATTTATTCGTTGAAAACAGTTTGGAAAGTAAAGCAAAAGAAAAATAAAGGAGAAGAGGGAAGGAAAACTAACCTCAGACAACTTCTGTTAACATACTGGCATATTTCCCTCCAGTGTATATTTCCCTCCAGTGTTCTTTTTTTTTTTTTTT